GAGGAGGGAGGGGTGCAGGGAGCCCTGGGCCAGCGGTGCTGGAGCGGGCAGGGGAGCGGGGGGCGCGTGGGGAGCGCGGGGCTGCGCAGGGCCCTTCACAGACACGCTCTTGGGGGCTCTGCCTGCCCGGCCAGATCTGCTCATCACGCTGACGGCACGGGGCACCCGTTCTGGTTCCAGCCGGCTGTATCCCCACCACTGTCCTGTCCCCTGCTCTGCACCCGGGCGGCAAGCTCCCCAGGCCGGTATTTGTAGAGCATGGACCACCACGGGGGCCTGCTCCACACTAGGCCACCAAGGGTCAGAGAGCGAGCTCTAACAGCAAAGCTAAAGCCTAGCAACTGACGGTTAGCCACCCATCCTCCTGCTGGAACATACACTCGTGCAGTATTGATTTCTTGGGCACAGGGAGAAAGAGCTTTGCAGTAGCTTAATGTGAATATACTGCTGATCAAAGATGGTGCGTTCTAAGCAAGTATTTGGGTGAAAGCATATTGTCAGAGATCCTCCGTAGCATTAGATTTAAATAATTGTACCTCACGCTGGGAAGCATTAGAGATGAAAGCTCTGATTACAGCAAGTCCAGCACCACTGCTGCCTTTCATTCCTAATTAAACTGTTAAATATTATGTAGTTTCCACTTACAAACTATTTTACTAGCACAGTCTTTCAATTTGTGTGGGCTCCATTTAATTTTCCACAAACAGAAACATTACAGGTCTGCAACAGAGTCATCTTCCCCGTGAATGAAACTCCTTACATAATCAGGCCAAAACGTATGTTAGGTGACTGTCTGTGAAGCACGGCTCATCATTAAAAACACCCAGTATTACAAAAACTTGACAGAGTAGGCTGGAATTCACTGTTAGGCCTCTACAGCTTGGCAACTGTTAGACAAATGTCCAGATTTGGATCTCAGTGAATTCAGCACATACCCTATGTCTAACAAAGATGAATAAGGCCAATCCTATAAATCTTGCATACTCAGAGACCTAGTGAACTTAATGGCAATACCCGTCACTTTGAGATTAGCACAAAGAAGCCCTCAAGTCCTCAAAGGATGAACATTTTCCTTCTGCACCCACGTTTTAACAGCTGAGACCAGAACCACCAAGCTCCTGATTTCCCAGACCACATCCCCAGGTCTGGCCCTCAAGGGACCCAGGACAGAGCCATGTGCTTGCACTAGTGCCCACCGCTTTGTCCAGATTCAGAGCTGAACTACATCCAGTATCGGCTCTGCGACTGGAAAGCCTAGTCACTGGATCAGGCAACTCCACACTACGCCCTGTCCTGCCTGTCCCTGCAAGTGCTAAGGTTTTGGCAGTAGATGAATATTCAGTATTTTTCTGGTCTGTGGCCAGGCTACCTTTGATGCTCTTACCCAGATAAGTCATTCTCTATCACCATTTTCTGTAGCCCCGCAGAGATGCTGTTGCCAGCATTAGGCGTGGATGCAGCGTGATCGGCTGTGACCGAGACCTGCAGGCAGGCCGGGTTACTGAGTGCCGAGTTGACATCCCTCAGGATCCGAGGCAGAGGCCCAAGTTTTGTTGCGGTGCCCTGGGCAGGAAAGAGAGCAGAATTACTACCTTGCATTTTTGCTACGGAACTGTGGCCTTTGCCAGTTGCTGGACAGTCTCTTCAGTGAATCACATTAACAACATTCATTTTCTCCATCATTTACCCCACCGCTGAGGCTATGGGATGTCCCAGAACACGTGGTTTTAGAAACCATTTGCTGCTGTGGGGCAGAGGACACAGGCGTGATTAACAAAGTTCAGATACAGAAGACGACAGCTATAGCCAAGCCTGGTCCAGCTCTCTTTAAAAAAATCCTTTTAATTCAAAAGATATCTTTTGACTCTGCTGGGACACACAAAATCCTGGAGCTCAGCAGCTCTGCCTTCTCATCCCGCCTGCCCCTCCATCCTCACCCCGCAATGATAAACAGCAGAGGAGGCAA